CCTCCTCCTCCTCCTCCTCAATGTTCCTCGTCCTCCTTGTCCTCATCCTTGTGCTTCTCCTCTCAATCCTGCTGCTCGTCCTCCTGGTTTAAACGTCGATCGGACTTAAGCTGAGCAGCTGTAGCGTTCTTGACTATAGATGCTCACACACATATATATATATATATATATATAGACACGTATGTATATCCAGTTCGGCTCACAAAGTACCTGGCGGGCGCCGCGAAAAAAAAAACATGTAACATAAGTCGACGGCAACAATATAACAACAAGTAGGCGCCTGCCAGGAACGACAGCACGTACCTTAGTGTGACAAGCTCCCTAAACCTTAGAGCATTCAAGTGTGAAGTCCATGTAGATATAGTGGTACCCGCTGCCAAGTAGAAATAGGGGCAATTAAGTGAGTGCAGGGTCCTGTCTGCACAAGCTCCTTTGCGAAAGAAGAAGCCAGCTTGTATTATGATGAGCAAATTGGGTAAGGCTGGACTGGAGGCTGGCCTGTGCAACTGGGTACCGGCTGCCGAAAGCTACGCCACCGCCGCCCAACAATTAACTCCCCTCCCCACGAATGAACGGAGCCAGACTGTTACGCAATTCATGGGCTGCTACCCTAGAGTTCCAAGATAGAATATCCTGCTGGGCGCAAAGGTGCTGCTTTGTTCTAGCAGTCACATGTAGAGAAGCTAGCATTCTTGCTCCAGCCCTTGAGTACTGATTCTATGTAAAAACGCAACGCTTTGACGCCAAAAGGTAGAGGCTGGCATGAGGTCGTCTGGCTTCTGTAGGTCCCCCGCCTATAGTGTGCAGGCGGCCTGGTAAAGCTGGCGAGAACCCTAGTAAAAAGCCTTGTGTGCGGTAAGGCATTCATGTGACTGCAAGCTTTGGCAATCTTTGGGCTGCTACCTAAGGTTCTTGGGTTTACCCCGAACCACCTGGACCAGGGGCCCCGTGCTTGTTGTAGGTTCTTGAATGGTTTTAGCACGAATCCGCTTTATCAGAATAAGATCCTCCTCCTTAAAACAGGGCCAGGATCGGGATAAATCGCTCCAGAGCGTTCCGGAGCGCTCTCAGAGCGTTCCGGAACGCGCTGGAGCGGCCGCGGCGCCCAATACATCCTCCAAACCCGCCGATTCTCAGAGATTTCGAGTTATCCCGATCCGATTTTGTCCCGATCCTCGCGTCGTTTTACTCCTCCTGATCATCCTCCTCCATCTCCCACATGTGGTAGTGGTGGTGGAAAGAGAACCGGCCCGTCATGATGGGGGGCTCCTCGCCGCCCCCCCGGGTCTCTCGCACACGACGTGGGCGGGCAGCGGGCCGCGCTCGCGGCCGCAGGATGCCGGAGGGCGAGGACGAGGGACTGAAGGCAAAAAGAGGCCGATGGACACACACACACACACACAAACAACATACACACATCCCAGGATTCCCAATATTGATCCATATTTCATGGATTGTGGTCTTCCCCCTCCACCTACCGTATTCTCCAATATTTCTGTCTGTATGGTTTTCGCCCTCCCGAAAGTAGGCTGGGCCGGGGCTGAAAGCGACGAAGGCCAGGCCAGCCAAGAGATCCCAAAACCCCCTCGACTTATTCAAACAAATCAGACGCATATATTGTTGCTGGGGGGTGGGAAATTTTGGCCTTGGCGGGCCCTGACCGGGCCTCGGGGCCGTCAGAAACGACTCAGGATGAAAAACCAAGCCCGTGAAAAGATTCGCGACCTCTCGGGGTCGATGCTATGAAAAAATCATGATGTCGGGGATCTGGGTCTCAACCCCCTCCCCCCCCCAGCCCCCCAAGGGCCCCCCCCGAAAGATCACCCAAAAAGTGCTCCGCAACGCCTCTATATAACAACAGGCCCTGTCCCGAAAGGCATTCGAGCACCCTCTTCGCGTGGTCGGGCTGGAAGTAGAAGTGGAAGTGCGAACAAAAACTCCAGCGTCGCAGATGTGCGATCACGTGCGCTCGATCCCCTGCTTCGAGGGATGGAGGAAGGCGCTCGCTGGGGGCACCCAGCCAGAGCCCCCCCCCCTATGCACGACCCCCCACCCTTGGAGCCCTCCAAGCTGGGATAGAACTTCCCGCCGTCGAACCGATGCAGGGAGAAGAAAAGCACCGAGCTGTCCTCCTCGAACATGTGCTGCGTGCCGTTCCCGTGGTGGACGTCGAAGTCCACGATCACGGAAGATCCAAAAAATTACATAAGCGCAATCCGTTCGAGGTCTGCGCTGATCTCTGGGTCGGCGTTGGAACTCCCTCCCCGCACCCCCGTTCCCAAGCGCGCGGAGCGCGCCTGAGGCCCTGCCATGGGGTGTGGTGAGAGTGCCAAGCGCCGACCCAAGAGATCCGCGCAAACCTTTGGAGGTGCACGGTTATGCCATTCTTTGCCCTTCTGAATCAGAGTCCTCTCCGACCAACCCTCGCGGCGCGCCTTGGCGGCCGCCACGGCGACGTTGCCGAACATGCAGAAACCCTGGGCGCACTCCCTCTCCGCGTGGTGGCCCGGAGGCCTCACCACGCAGACCGCGCTCTGCACCTGGCGCGACTTCCACGGAAGAGTCAGTGCATAGGAGGGGGGCTTCGAGAAGCGACACCACCACCACCAGGGATCGCCAGCGGGAGGAGCCAGGGGGGGTCCTCTTTTGGTGTGCCCCCCCCTTCTATCCCCAGCTCAGTGACGCATCGTGGACCTCCGCGCTGGACATGGGCCCGCTGGTAGTGGTGGTGTTGCTTCTCCTTCCCCCGATCCGGGGAGGATATCACAGGCGCCAGGCATGGAGGCGCCAAGATCGATCAACATCTCTCAAGTCCTGGCGTCGCAAGATGGCCTTCGCTGGAGGGCATCTTGCTTCGATAGTGGTAGTGGTAGTAGTAGTAGTAGTAGTAGTAGTAGTAGTAGTAGTAGTAGTAGTAGTAGTAGTAGTAGTAGTAGTAGTAGTAGTAGTAGTAGTAGTAGTAGTAGTAGTAGTAGTAGTAGTCGTAGTAGTAGTAGTAGTAGTAGTAGTCGTAGTAGTAGTAGTAGTAGTCGTAGTAGTCGTAGTAGTAGTAGTAGTAGTAGTCGTAGTAGTAGTAGTAGTAGTAGTAGTAGTAGTAGTCGTAGTAGTAGTAGCAGCAGCAGTAGTAGTGAGTCTGGGGCCCGAGTGGTGAGTTGTGACAAGATGCTGCAAAGTGTAGGCGGCGTCGGCTCTCGCTGTTGCCTGGCAATGCCCCGACGCGAAACAGATTGCCCTCGCCCCCCTCGTGTTTGCCAGCTGGAGAGGAAGGATAGGAAGATAAAAGAGGCCAGATGGCACCCCAACCACGGGATCCACCAAGACTGAAGTGTCCGAGTCGGGACATCCTCATGGCCAAGCTCCAACACCAAGACCGCCTCCATCCTCGCCATGTCGAATGAACACTGGGAACAAACAAAATCAGAGTGAGGGGGCCGAAGAGTCATTCACTGTCCCTGGGCGCTTGACTGAAGTGGGGGTCCGCGATGCGGATTCATGTTGTTGTTGTTGTTGTTGAAATCTCACTACTAAAGAATAATTAGTGTTGGTCCTCCCCCTCCGGTGACCATTGTGCTTTTTCAAATGAAGTGCTTCCCCCGGGACTCGCACCCACTTCAGACTGGGCCCCTGGCCCCCAGATCAGAACAACAACGGCTCCCGCCTAATACTTCCTTGCCCGCGGTGGGTCTGCCCACCCGATCTGCCCGTCTGGTTCTACCACTTTCTTTCTGCTCCTTGCCCCCCTCCTGCTATTATTCTCCCTCCCCCTTCCACCTGTCCTCTCTTCCCTTGTTTTAGGGGCTGTGGCAGGTGAGGAAGATAGACCCCCAAGGGAGTACGATCGAAGACGACGAGGGCGGGTACCGAGGGTGTGGGATATACGCATTGATTGGCACGTGAGTAGGTTGTAGTTGTCGATGTTAGTATTGGTGTTGATGTCGTTGATGATGATGTTGTTGGCGGTGGTGATGGTGTTGTTGTTGCTGTTGGTGCTGTTGGTGTTGTTGCGTTTTGTGTGCTGTTGTTTGGCATCGTCCCCCCCGTGACCCGGCCGGCGACCCACCCGCGACCCACCCGCGACCCACCCACAACCCACCCACGACCCACCCGCGATCCACCCCGCGACCCACCCGCGACCACTCCGCGACCCACACGCGACCCACCCGCGACCCACCCCGCGACCCACCCACATTGATTTAACGAACAACTCGGCGCCTATGTCGGGCTCGTTGTATAGTCTGTGGACGTATGCGCCTGCGGCGGGCTTCTTCAGAGCCTCGCAGGCTGCCGACGGCCCAGCCGCCTTTTCACTCTTGCCCGCAACCGCGGGCTGCTACGTATCTGCTTGTTGTAGCTTCCCGGGGCCACGTTCTCATCCAGAGTCGTGTCGTCAAACGGTCCCAAGGGGGGACACAGTCGAGGCGTTGACCTAAAGAACGACAAATAAGGAACGAAGCCCCGATGTTTACAAGGAGCGCCGTGGGGGGGCTCGCCACCGAAAAAGGAGCGGAATGCATGCAAACCTAAGGAACGGCCGAGCCCCTTCCAAAAAGTAATTGGACCTTATTCAGCGCCCCGACTGTAGCAAAGGCAAGCGTAGCGAACCAGCTCGGGCACCTTGCTTTCCTGACGCCTCGCGGCGCCAGAGGGCCGCCCGCGCATGGAGGAAAGTGCGCCGCGGCGGGGCCGCAACTTGTACCAAATTCGAACAAAATTCGTACCCACCTTTCGTCCGACCTTTCGTCGAGCAACAAATCGAAGAATGTTCATGCACCAAATTCGTACCCACCGTCCGTCCGACCAAACTCGGATGCTCAATACGACCGAAATGGGTACGAAAAAAAATGTGGCCGAAGACCTGCAATAACGTCTGCCCATGTTCGCACCGTGTTCGCTGCCCGTGTCGCCACCGGCGCTGTCCATTTAAGACAGAAGCTCGCCTGTCCAACAACAGCCGCTGTCGGTGTTGGACTACATTTGCTGTTGGGCATCGTACACATTGATTATGTACAGATTGCGGCGGACCGAAGCGCGAACCCCCCCCTGCCGCTTGTCCCCGGCGACGGTGCCTCTCCCGCGCACACCCGCTCCGTGGCCTCCAGTACCGCGCCGGCGGAGAGGAGGGCAGCCGTCGTGGACTCGGGGCACAGGAAGACGTCCTGAGCGGGAGGGAGTGCCGACCATATGCGGACGGCGTCGAGGATCAACGGTGTTGGTGCTGTTTATGATGATGACGGTGCCGACGATGGGGATGGAGACGATAACGTCATGGTGTCGGTGTTGATGGACTTGATGGCGCTCATGTTGCTAATCCTGGTGTTGATGAGATTTCTGATGGTGACGACGGTGCCGTCGTCATCGTCTCAGTCATCAGAATACGTATTGGCGAGCTGCAGCAAGAATCCAGATCATCATTGCCATCACCATCACCACCACCACCACCACCACCACAACCACCATCAACATCGGGCATCGGGCTCCTCCACAGACCCGATCGAGGTTGCGGGGGCGTTCTCATTTGGATCTTCTTGGTCCTACTTCGTGGCCGCGGCTGGATGTCCGTCGACCTTCGACAATCTGACCAGAGCGCATCCAAAAAGAGACATGTTCGGTCTCCTCGATGTCTGCGCTTGAGAACCGGTTCCAGGCCCCAGACCGATAACAGTTTGATCCAGCCCTCGGATCAAGGACCGAGACCTCTCAGGCCCGCGGATAAAAAAAAACCGTCGGATATCTGGGAACAAACCATCGAGAGCGCGCAAAAGGGGGTGAGGCGAGGAGGGTGACATTGCGGGACGGCATGGGTCTTCTCATCATAGGCTGCCCCCGCTTCCTGTGGATATCATGATGAAACATGGTCGCGCATGTAATTTTCCCGAATTCTGCGAAAATCTCTGGGATATTATTTCTCGGCTCTCCGGAAAAGCCTACTGAACCCCGTCCGAGAAGTTCGCCCAATCTCTAGTAACGCCCCCCCCCCTTTTCCCTGCTGCGCTCCCCCGATGACCAGGACAGTCCCGCCCTGGGCCCAGCATCGGCGTATGCGAGTTCGTGGCCAACTCAAGTATCAAAACTTCATGAACCCCAGGATTGTAGGAGGAGGGGGAGTTCTCCAGAGCTCTGCGGAGCCCTGCGAAGTCACCAGAAGCTCCCAAAAGGAATAACAACAGCTGCAATCTTGACCCCCCCTACAATCGAGGGGAATCGAAGGAGAGGAAGATGAGGACGAGAATATGGAGAGGTGTGGCGATTAGATGCACGCATGAAAGGTATCCAAAGGGAAACGGTCTCTGACCCTTGGATTATTTTCCCAGAACGAACTGTTCATCCTGGGCAATTGATTGATGGTCCAGTGCTTTGGGAAGACCCCGGAAGCGCGAACACTGTGAAGCACCTCAGGGACCCCGTTGCATCGCTCGGTCGTCTATACAATATGAACTGATTGGTTTCGTGCGCGCCCTGTTCTCAAGATGGTCCAAGATGATCCGAGGTGAGCCAGGTGGTGTGGCGCTGGCGTCGCCAAAGAACATGCACACGTCCGAGCGATGCCAAGCCCATGTCTTTCCAGAACTCGTCTTCTTCAATCGTGGCTACCACATTTCGAGTAGGGGACCGACTGCAGAACTGACTTACCCCAAACTACATGTTCCCGTCGGATCTACAAACATACATGGAATGCCCCGTAGGTCTATGGAATATCCTACGCATTTGTTCCAGAGATTCGACGGCCATATCAACTTCTGCGTACATCGATTCTGCAATTGATCCTCTACTCGAAGACTGGTGCGGCACTGCTCGGTGCGGACACATCGTTACATTGGGGAAACCAGCAGGTACCAATACCGCTATTTCCCCGACCTCCCCAGGGGTGCGTTCTGACTAGAATTTCGAGGCGAATCCAGCGGTGGCGACGAGGGCCTCCCAGGAGGCCCGACAAGGCGAAAACGAGGCAGGGATAGCAGTATCGGCACCTTGTCCTCCTCGTCGAAGGAGGCTGCTTCTGAGAAGGCGCGTGCACCACCTCCACGGATGAGGCCCGCGCCTTCTCAGAAGAAGGGGTGCTTCCACGAAGCCTTCCCCCTCCCCCCCACCCCCCTCTGCGCGTGGCCGAGCCTGGTTGAACCCCCCCCCATGGCCTTGTACTCCCGGCCCTTCTGGGCCGCCGCGGCCTCCCCGAGCGCTCCCAGCCCGAGCATCGCCTCCACGTGCTCCGCCGTGTGCCGCAGCTCGAGCTCCTCGGCGCGGGAGGCGTGGTCGGGCGGGCTGGGGCCCTCCGCTCCTCCTGCAGCTGCCTGCTGCAGCCCATCCTCGCCCTCCCTGCCTGCGGCCCCGTGCTCCTTGTGCTCCCCCTCCTGGTCCTCCCCCTCCCTCCGTCGTCTGCCGCCTCTGCCCGTCCTTCTTCTACTCTCCCTCTCACTCCTCCTCAATCTCCCGCCCCTCCTCTTCGCCCTCCCTCCCTCCCTTACTCCCTCCCTCCCTCCTCCTCGTCTGTTCTGCGCTGTTCCGCAGCTCAGGGAAAACAATTTCCTGATGTTGCAACACTATTGCAAAATATTTAAAGGCCTGGACCTTCCACGAAGCCTCATCTAGGGCAAGTGCATCCGCTCGGCAAACTGAGCATGGCGAGTCTATAAAAGGCCCTTCTGCCAATCATGGCTCATGGGACTCATGGGTCCACGCTTCGGCTTGTATACCCCACAGGCCGATCATCCGGGAGGATGCTGCACGGGACCCGCCTCGAAGTCGTCGTCGTCGTCCTCCTCCTCCTCCTCCTCCTCCTCCTCCAAGTCCCTCCCTCCCAGCAGTGCCGGGGGGAGGTGCGTAACAAAAAGCATGCACATAAACCGAGAGAGAGAGAGAGAGAAAGCGAAAGCAAACTACTTTCCCTGGCGACGTACCAAACCCCAGCGCCATGCGGGGCATGAGTAGCTTGGGGGACTTTCTACGGAGGTGATGACGTGAAATGGGCGCATATACTTCTGCGAGCGGCATTGGTGAGGCTCGCAGCGCGCAGCCCCCCAGGGACGACGAGGTCCCGCTCAGGACTGCGCGGTGCCCCACTCCGCTGGACCCACCATCAGCCATCGAAAGTGGCGACAATGTCGCAGATCGCAGCCCCCCAGAGACGGCGAGGTCACGCTCAGGTCTGCGCGGTGCCGCTCTCCGCTGGACCCACCAGCAGCCCTCGAAAGTGGCGACAATGTCGCAGATCGCAGCCCCCCAGGGATTGCGAGGTCCCGCTCAGGACTGCGCGGTGCCGATCTCCGCTGGACCCACCAGCAGCCTTCGAAAGTAGCGACAATGTCGCAGATCGCAGACCCCCAGGGATTGCGAAATCCCGCTCAGGACTGCGCGGTGCCCCAATCCGCTGGACCCACCAGCAGCCCTCGAGAAGGGAGACAATGTCGCAGATCGCAGCCCCCGAGGGACGACGAAGTCCCGCTCAGGACTGCGCGGTGCCCCACTCCGCTAGACCCACCATCAGCCATCGAAAGTGGCGACAATGTCGCAGATCGCAGCCCCCCAGAGACGGCGAGGTCACGCTCAGGTCTGCGCGGTGCCGCTCTCCGCTGGACCCACCAGCAGCCCTCGAAAGTGGCGACAATGTCGCAGATCGCAGCCCCCCAAGGATTGCGAGGTCCCGCTCAGGACTGCGCGGTGCCCCACTCCGCTGGACCCACCAGCAGCCTTCGAACGTAGCGACAATGTCGCAGATCGCAGACCCCCAAGGATTGCGAGGTCCCGCTCAGGTCTGCGCGGTGCCCCAATCCGCTGGACCCACCAGCAGCCCTCGAAAAGGGAGACAATGTCGCAGATCGCAGCCCCCCAAGGACGACGCGGTCCCGCTCAGGACTGCGCGGTGCCCCACTCCGCTGGACCCACCAGCAGCCTTCGAAAGTAGTGACAATGTCGCAGATCGCAGCCCCCCAGGGATTGCGAGGTCCCGCTCAGGTCTGCGCGGTGCCGCTCTCCGCTGGACCCACCAGCAGCCTTCGAAAATAGCGACAATGTCGCAGATCGCAACCCCCCAAGAATTGCGAGGTCCCGCTCAGGTCTGCGCGGTGCCCCACTCTGCTGGACCCACCAGCAGCCCTCGAAAGTGGCGACAATGTCGCAGATCGCAGCCCCCCAGGGACCACGAGGTCCCGCTCAGGACTGCGCGGTGCCCCACTCCGCTGGACCCACCAGCAGCCCTCGAAAGTGGCGACAATGTCGCAGATCGCAGCCCCCCAGAGACGGCGAGGTCACGCTCAGGTCTGCGCGGTGCCGCTCTCCGCTGGACCCACCAGCAGCCCTCGAACGTGGCGACAATGTCGCAGATCGCAGCCCCCCAGGGATTGCGAGGTCCCGCTCAGGACTGCGCGGTGCCCCACTCCGCTGGACCCACCAGCAGCCTTCGAAAGTAGCGACAATGTCGCAGATCGCAGACCCTCAGGGAGGGCGAAGAGAAGGCAGGAGGAGAGAGGAGGCGGGAGTAGGGACGCGCGAGCAGTGCAGTATTCAAAACGAGTACCCAACCAAAGAGGGTTGGTAAACAACGCAACCACACAAACAAAGCATGGCCTAGCAAAGCACATGAGGCAATACAACTACCTATAACTTTTCACCTCCTGGCGCACACTCCAGGTCTCACGATCTGAAGCGGAGGGACGACGAACGCCTGCAAACCTGCTCATCTCTGCTCCCTGTCCCTGGCCCGTCTGGCCAGACAAGGGGGAGGAGGAAACGTGTCCTGGTCTGGGATCCAGCGTCTCTTCCCCGAAGGAAGAGGGCGAAAAGAGAGGAGATGAGGATGGTTATGCTGCCCTGCCAGCTTGGGCGAGGGCGAACATGCGCCCGCCCGCGCGAGGACCCGCTCTCCAAATGACCGCGTGCCGAGCGACGGGAGCGCCACCCTCAGGCCAAACATCGGCGCGGCGCCAGGCAGGGCGGAGGGGGGGGAGGGGGCAGAAGCTCTGCGAACCTGTGTTTTCTCGTCTTGATGCCGTGAGCCCCACGCTCACGACACCAGCCCTGGAAACCCCGCTTGGGGCTCCCGCGCCAAGTGGCCCATGCTGGGGAGCGGGGCCGCCGACAGGGCCCGCCTCCCGCAAGGCCCCCCCCCCAAGCGCGAGGGGAGGGCACGCCGAAGGGGGACCGACTGGTTGAGAGGGCAGTGGTGCGGGGCCCACCCCCCTCCTCACCCGCTTCCCCTGGAATCCGTGGTTCGAAGATGGGGCCCTGAGGGATGTGGTCCTAGGGACAGGAAGGGATCCAAGGGTGGATGTACGTTGTTTGCGGAAGCTCGTCCTGAGGGCCCCATCCCTCAGGACCCCATCTTTGAACCACCGATCGAGGAAGGAAAACGGCGTGACCACAAACTCTTGGAGGTCCGAGCGACGCCGGCGCCAGAGGGACAGCCAGAAGTGGGTAGCGCCGATCCAACAGATCCGCGCGATCCTCTGAACGATTAGGCTTGTTCGTATCCATGTCCACTGAATCTTAGAATTTCGGCATCCCCTCCCCGACCACCCGAGGCGCAGGGGAGATGGATAGACATCTGGCCCCTGGAGGCTAGACTTTTGTCCATGCCCACTGCGCCCCGGCCGTTTGCTGGCGCTTCCGAGAAAGTCGAGGACGCAACGAATGTCATATAAAGCTTGCCAGAAAACTGCAGATACAAAGAAACTTCGAGCCCAGACTTCAGTCGCGCAACGCGTGCAATCATCCCGGAGCGTACGGGGTGGAGCGACTGGAGCACATACTTCTTGGGGCGGGCAATGGCTTTGCCCAGGTGCTGGCCCTCCAGGTGCCTGGCCGCGAGAGGGTGCGCCAGGCACGCTGTCAGAAAACTGGCCCACACTCTTTTTCATGGTCTGCGCAATGCTCCATCATGCTCCTCCTCCTCCTCCTCCTCCTCCTCCTCATCCTCCTCCTTCCCGACCTTTTCTTCCCTGGGGCCGGCTTTGCATACTAAATTGTCTTGTTGACGGTCCCAGGGTCCAAGGGCTCAATGAGGGTCTCCGGAGGCAAAAACTGTGCAGAACCTCCGCGCCTTGATCTGACGCCTCTGACGAGGAGGAGGAGGAGGAAGAGGAGGAGGAGGAGGGAGAAGCGAAGGAGGTGGTAGGAGGGAGAGGAGGGAGGAGGGGGAGGAGGAGGAGGGGTGGAGGAGAAAGAGGAGGGAGGAGGACGGAGGAGCAAGGGGAGCAGATGGAGGAGCGGGGGGAGGAGGGAGACCAGAGCAAACCTAGGATGCCACAGCGAAGCAGCATGCAACACCATCCAACACTCCCTCCCATTACTGGGAGCGCTCTCCCCCCCCCCCCGGAATGACGAGCGCCCGCTGGGCTCTGCCTGCCGCTCAGGCGAGACCCCGCCGTGTAAGGGCCCCACCCTCCACCGAGGAGGCGGAGCAGGACCCCCCCCTCCTCCGCAGCGGCCCCTGGCGTTGCCGAGGTGCGGATCCGTCAACATCCGCCGCCCGGGGAGCCGAGGTCCTGGGCCCCCGGGGGGGGGGGGCGGCGGAGCTGAATCTTTGCTGCCCCCATGCGCAACGCCCAGCCGGCAGCGTGCTGACACGGAGCTCAATACGCAGATTGCATGCGTACGTCTGGCGCGAGGCGTTCGCCGAAGCGTGGGCCAACACGTGAGCGGGACGTGTTGGGAACGGAACGCGTTGCGCTTCAAGACGTAGGCACCGGGGCAATTGCGATCTGGATATGTGCTGGCCCCAGGGGGCACCGCCTGCCGACGTGCCCGAAAATCGATCCTCCAGGCGGTGGTTGCGGAGAAGGTTTCGGTGGCAGCTCATGGGAGACTCCCCTGCCACCTTGCTGATTCTTGCAAACCGACGCTGGCCGACGCTGATCGACGCCAATCGACGCGAATCGGCGGTTTCCCATCGATTAACAGAGACGCTAGCGCGCGCGCGAGTGCACCCTGAAGACGCCATTGCGAGAACATGCACGGCCCCCATGATTTGCGACCGAAGGACTCCAAAGGGCGCTGGGTCTCGATATGTGCTGGCCCAAAGTGGCACCGCCCCCGAGGCCTAGAGAGGGAAGTCCGAGCATAAGCAAGGCTCCGTGAGTCCCACCAGCCTTCTGGGCGTAGGTGATCCAACGAATTGTGCCACCTCTCTCCCCAAACTCCCGCAATCCCCTGCTCGAAGGGGTGGGGGTCTACCCTCCCCCCTACACCAAACCCTCTGGGTCTGGACGGGGCGCCCAGGTGTCAGAGGATGCTGTGGAGCCTTCCAGGGCGCCCCCCCCCGAGAAGCTACATAACATGCTTCAAACACGGATTGAACATACATGTGTTTGGCCGTCTCGCCTTTCCGCTCCCGATGGGCGTTTGAGGCCTCACGATGGCCACACGGTGGCCTGAGAGAGCCCCACGGAGGGGGCCCAAGAGGGCCCCCCCCAAAACGCCCAAGCATCGCCCAGCTCGATGACCGCCCTGCTTCCCTGCCAACTCCACCATGGCGCTGGCCGCCTCGCGCAGGGAGCCGTCGGCAGCGTCGACGAGGCCCTCCGCGTCGATGTCCAGCATCTGCGCGCAGCCTCTGCGCAGGTCCCGGGACCTCGACCTCGCCCCTGTGGTTCCTCGTGTGAGCCGCCGCCATCCGCCACGCAGTCCAGGGCGCTGCCGTCTCCCTCGAAGTGGGAGCTGCCGTCGTCGCTCCCCTGCACCTCCTCCTTCCCGTCTTCGGCCTCAACCGCCGCCAGCGCCATGGTCTCCGCCAGGAGCACGCGCTCGCTGTCCGAGGCCTTCTTGGCGAGCTTGTTCTTGGCCGCATTCATATCCGTCTCCGCCGAGGCCTTCTTGGCGAGCTTGTTCTTGGCCGCATTCATATCCGTCTCCGCCCGCGGCCGCCTCGGCGATGGCCGACTCGTGGTCATCGTTCTCCTCCCGCTCGCCCTCCAGCGCGCCGAACGAGTTGCCGCACTCGAAGCTGGGTCCGTTCTGCTTGACCTCCGCGCCTGCACGTGCCACCTGGAGCCAGGTGCCGTCTTCGTCTGCGTGCGGGTCCCCGACGTCCGCCGCTGCCGCCATCTCGAACGGCGGGGCATCGCGCCGTAGCTCACACCCTGCCTGCGGCATCGGCTCCGCCGCCGCCCTCTGGTGCAAGCAGCTGTCCACCACTGGCACGCATCCCACGCCGCCGCTGAGCGCCCGAACCGCGCTTCCGCAGCCATGGCACCAGGTGCCCCCGGCGGGCCGCGCCATCGCGGCCGCGAGCGCCGCCTCCGGCAGGAGTCTCAGCCCGAGACTGGCCTCCCAATCAGGGAGGCGGGGCCGGGGTGGGCACGGCGAGCGGGAGCGAGCTTGAGCCCAAAAGCTTGAGCAAAAATGGCTACGGACGACCACCACAAACACCACCACCACCACGACGCCGACGCCGACGCCGACGCCGACGATGACGACGAGCCTTGCCGGCCAGCAGTCCTCGCGCGTCGCCTCGCGGCAGGGCAGCCGCTGGCACCTCTGCGACAGCCCCTCTGCCTCCAGGCGCCGCATGATCTGCTCCACCCGCTGCGGCCGCTCTGGGTGGCGGCCGGCCTTCGGTGCGAGGCGAAGCATGGGACTGCATGGGACGCACGCGGACATACTAGTGAAGTGTGCCCTCCAAGGCGTGCGTCCGACACGAACTTCTAGTATACCCGTCTTGTAGCATATCGTTTCCCGAGCGGTGTGGCCAGACAGCGCCCGCCACGAAGCGTATACTATCTCAAGACCGAATTTCGGGGTGTGGGGGGTGTACGGGCTCCACATGTGTTTTGTCCAGACGCCCCCCCCTATTGGGAATTGAAGGCGAATTGAGGCCTTCGAGTTGGGTTGGGTCGGTCTGGTAGGTGGTGACCTCAGGGCAGGATCAATCAGCTCGGAGGCGGCGGGGTGGTTTGAGCTGGATGGGCCAAGCGACCATCGGTCAAGACATTGCAGAGAGCGTGATCCACCGCCGCTTTACTGTGGAACATTTCCCCCCTCTTCCTCTGGAACCTGGGGGTCCCCCACCCCTCCGAAAATCCCTCCCCCCCGACTCGAACCCCCACCCCTCCCTTTCTCTGGCAAAACCCTCTTCCCCCTAACCCCTCCACCCCCCTCCCTTCCTCCGGCAAAACCTCCTTCCCTCCTAACCTCCCCCCCCCCCCTTCCCCTCTCCGGAGAACCGGGGAGGGGGTCACTACCAATTCGACCCCCCCCCCCCCTCCAGAAAACTGGGGAGGGTCACTACCGGTCCGAACCCCACCCTCCACTCACAGCCGGCAAACGACTCCAGGTTCGCCACAACCGTCCTCACCACCGCCTTCACCCGCTGTCCCCAGCACCACCGTCCCCACCACCACTGTCCCACTGTCCCCACTGTTTCCACCACTGCCCCCACAGTCCCCACCAGTGCCCCCACCACTGTCGCACTGTCCCCACTGTCCCCACCACTGTTCCCACCACGGGCCCACTATCCCGACTATCCCCAGTCCCCACCACTGTACCACTCTCCCACTGTTCCCATCATTGTCCCACTGTCCCCACTGTTCCCGCCGCTGCCCCACTGAGCTGTCCCACTGTTCCCACCACTGTCCCCACTGTCCCCACCACTGTCCAAACTGTACCACTGCCCCATTGTTCCACCACCGTCCTCACCACCACCCTCACCACTGTCCCCACCACCACCGTCCCCACCACTATCCCACTGTCCCCACTGTCCCCACCACTGCCTGACTGTCCCCACACCGCTGTACCCACCACCACCGTCCCCACCACTGTCCCACTGTTCCCACCACTGTCGCACTGTCCCCACTGTTCCCACCATTGTCCCCACTGTCCCCACCAGTGCCCCCACCAGTCTCTCACTGTCCCCACTGTCCCCACCACTGTCCCCACCACTGTCCCCACAATGGTCCGACTCTCCCCATTCTCCCCGCCTTCCCCACCACTGTCCCACTGTCCCCACTGTCCCCACCACTGTCCTATGGTCCCCACTGTCCCCACCGCTGTCCCACTGTGCTGTCCCACTGTCCCCACTGTCCCCGCCACTGTCCCACTGTCCCCACTGTCCCCAACCACCACCGTCCGCACCACTGTTTCACTGTCCCCGCTGTACCCACCACTGTCCCAGTGCCCCACTGTCCCCACACCACTGTCCCTACTACCACCGTCCCCACCACTGCCCCAATGTCCCCACCACTGTCCCATAATCTCGAGAGGCGGGAATCGTTTGCCGGCGGCGAGGGGGTGGAAGGGGTTCGAACCGGTAGTGACCCCTCCCCTTTTCATGATGGACTGGGGGGGGGTTCGAACCCGTAGTAACCCCCCCAATGGTTTTCGAGGGGAGGGGCGGGTTGGGAACCCCCAATGACCCCCCTCAGTTTTCCGCTAGCAGCGGTAGAACAATCCGCTCAAAATCGGTGCCTGGATCCCCTCCTGAATCCATCTGTTGTGGTTTTTGTCCCTGAATCCGTTTTTGACGGTGCCAGGGCCCGAACACGACTCAGGAAGTAAGCAAAAACGGAAAAAACTTACAAACCTAGAGAGCCTCAGACCTCGCCCGCCCTTCGTGCAGGCTGGACCCAGTACTGGGCCACCTCCGATCCCCAGCCGACTCCAAAGCACAACGGCGTCGGATCGTAGGGCAGGATCAGTCATGGAGGGCCCAGGGACACACAAATAAATAGATACAAATCCCAGGATCCACCATATCTTCAGTATGTTCTGCGCTTTCGTCTTCCCTCTCGTCCACCATATTTGCAGTATGTTCGATTTTCCATAGTCTTACAGGAATGGCAAAAAGAATTTGTGCCTGTGTCTTTTCCCCTTCCGAAGTCAGCATCGAGCCCGGAAGACGGATCGGATCGGCCGCGCCGAGACCTCCACAGCAGCGCCGTGCAAACATCAAAGCGGCCAGCGGCGCCGCCCTGCGAGCACACCGCGCCGTGCGGCCGCCGAGGCAAGGCATCGGGCACGGGGACGCCGGATCTCGGAGGCCGCTGCGCGGGCAAGACTTGTGCCCATAGCCACGGTAGCTCGGAGTTTGGGGCTCCCTCCCCCAGAAACCCGATGCGCACTGGATATGGACAGAAAACCGGCCACTACACCCTGCGAAGTGCTTAAGAAATCATGGGTTAAGAAACTCATAGTCTCAGAACTTGAATAAAAACCCAACATTTCCATTAAAATCTTAGGATTTACGTTGAAACGTTAAGGAAAATCGAGACTCTGGCCGAAAACTTGGGTTTTCTTAAGCATCGCCTAAGGTGTAGAGACTCGACTCTTGCCCATGCCCACTGCGCCTCGGCCTTGGGGGGCCCCCTCCAAGAGAGTCCAAGACGCACTGGACATGGACAGAAACATTGCCTGCAGACTATGGGAGTGAATGTGAAGAGGCCCCAGGACACACAAATAAATACACACAAATAAAACTATTCCCCATATTTTCGTGTATTTTCTGGGTTTCTGTCTTCCCCACCACTTCCCATATTTTCCCATATTTTCCAGGGGATCGACGATTAATTGTGTCTGTGTGTTTTTTTTTCCTCCTGGATATTGCTTGCAGACTATGGGAGTGAATGGCCCAGGGGGGGAGCAATGCTTGTGGCGGGCTCCAGGATCCCTGAACCCCAACATGCTGCCATCGCTCGAGGGCGCACCTCTCACATCCTTTTAGATCTCTGCTGCCTCGAACTGTCGGCTGGAGCTTCTGCGCTGGGCTAGCCTAGAGGCCTACCAATGTCTCGGCGCTTACACTTGCGACTGACAAGATGCAGAGAACCCTGACGATGCCGCGGCGAACAGGCAAAGGCATAAGTAAACAAACTAGGCTTGGGCCTTAGCATCCCACCCCTGAACACCCTTACCCTTGTGAGGGTGGCACTGCGGGGGCAGCCGCCTCCATTCCCTCCAGGACCGAGAAGGCCACCGGCCACCTACAAGAGACCAACAACTAGCACGGAGTCCCCGAACGAATGTGGGATCTGTGTGTGTGTGTTGTCAACCTCTGTCCCAGCCGCGTGGTCTATAGGTCTCTGCCCGGCGGCTTCTGCTGGCCTTCCGCCAGCGTCCCCCCGCAGAGCCGCACCTAATTGCTTCCGCCTACCTCCCGCCGCCCTCCGCCGAGGAACAGATGGTAACCCCTTCGATCCTCGAAGGCGAGGCCCTTTGCCCCCAGCCCGGATGATTCGGGAGGATTGGACGCGCGAGTTCTCCCGGATAACTGCGGTCCGGGGTAACACCGGTTTGGGCCCCCGAGCGAGGCGCACATCTGCTTTCCCTGGCAGCCCCCCGCCCCGATGACTTCAGGGCTGTGCTGAGACCTGGAAACTGCTGCCATCTCCTGGCCATCGCTCGGACGTCCACTCCCTGTGCTTTTCTTGGTTTCGTGCGTGGCTTTTTTCGCCGATTGATCAAGGACGCTCCTCGATGATCCTTGCCGAAGGAAAAATGCACACGTCCGAGCGATGCCAAGAACCTAGAAGCTGCTGCCATCTCCTGGTGGTGCCTTTCCTACTCCCGCCGGCCTCCGCCGGCCTTCCGCCCGCCTCCGACGGCGGAGGCGGCCGCCCTCTCTATACCTCCGCCGCCCTCTGCCAGGGAAGAGGCGCCAAGCTCCTCCCAAGCCACAGCCGTGAGAAGCGCCACCACGTGAGAAGCGGTACAGTCGGACTTGATTGGACAGGACACGCGAGAGGACACAAGACCCTTCCGAGGGCCACATCGCCATTGGAGTGCAAGAAGGCACGTGCCGCGAGGCACAGGACACAAGGGTACCCCTTGAGCTGGCAGGGCCGACCTACTAATCCGGGCCGAGTGTACCACGAGCGACAGCGAGACTGGGCAGTCGATGGGCAACCCTGTCGCAGGGCCGTCACCGCTCGTTCCTCCCAGTTGGGGCGACGACGCCAGCGCGGATAGAGAAGTGGCGGACGAAGGAGGGAGAAGAGGAGAGACGACTGACAGGATCAAGAAAGCACCAACATCCTGGAAGTGTGCGAACAAACTGCATGCACGCCTGCCAGCAGGTCCTGCGACGATCTATTGGCAGTCGGGCGCTGCACGACATTGCAACAGTCCAAATCTCAAGTGTGCGCGAAAAGCACGATGATCTTTGCCCCCCATGACCCCAAGATCGGGCGGGGCGATCTGTTCGAGACGTTGGCCCCCAGACCTCTCGGCCCATCCCCTGGAGCCGCCATTTCAGCCCGAGTCTGTCTTCGACGGAGAAGCCAGCCGTCGTTAGGCGAAAGCTGGATGAAACAATACATATACATACATATATATATATGTATATATATAGATGTATACACGGGGAAGACGACTAGGGAGCCTCTGAGGAGAGGTGGCGGAAGATGTATCGAACAACGCGGCAGGCTCAGAGCGCTCTGGAATGATGACCTCCTCGAGATCATCCTCCCTGAAATACGACGTCACGGGCGTTCGGGGAGACGTAAGACTCGGGCTCGGGGGACTCGGGTTGGCCTGACGGGGCCGTCAGGAAAATGACGAGACCTGGTCTGAAATTTGACGCGACCTTCCGCTGCAAACATCCCACACAAACCGGACCATCAAAATCCAGAACGTGCTGGTCAGAAAGCGTCGGCCAACTCAAGTTGCGACGAAGACGAGTGTTACGTTTCCCCGATAAGGCTGACTGACGTCTCGATGCCTTCGATAGAAGAAGCAAGAACGGCATACGCATAAGCTTTTGGCGCTCCGCGCGGATGTCGTGGATCTGCGCTGGTCCCCCCCCCCCCCGCGCGGGGAGCGCGCCAGGAGCGGCGCCAGAGGCGCCGCCGGGGGGCCCCAGCGCGGATCCGAGAAATCCGTGCGGAGCGCCAAAAGTGTATGGTTATGGCGCTTCTCTTCGTCGTCGAGATCTCGAGTGTTACGCTATCCCGATAAGGCTGACTGACGTCTCGATGCCTTCGAAGCGCCGGATCTCTGGGCCTGGGCCGTTGCCGTCGTGTATCGACTGACCCGGGTCAATCCACACCCGGGTCAATCAAGCTGTGCGGGATCCTGCAGGATCCTGCACCCAAACCCGGGTCAATGCACCCATGACCCTGCAGGATCCTGCAAGAGCAGGCGCTCTGTCTGACCCCCGTCTGAATTGGCCCCAGTCTCTTGAGTCCCGATGCCGGCCGTCCTCCACGTTCCGGTGCCCGGTCATGCGCTCGTCGTAGAAGAGCGCCACGCTGGCGTCCTGGCTCGCGGCATCGCCGCCGAGCTGGAAGAACCTCCTCCTGCCAGGGGCGCCAGACGACAAGGAGATGCGTGGTTTGCAGTCTGCAGGAGACAAGGGCGCCTGACGTCGGGCTCTCGCGCTGCCCCCGAGGGGAGGGGAGGAGGATGAGGAGGAATCGGAGCCGAGCCGCGATGCGCGAGGCGCCATGGACTTCCCGCCTTTTTTCGTGCCCTCGAGGGCGCCCTTAAGGTAGCCACCTTCCAGGCCTTCCTAGAGAGGCAGGAAGAGGCTCCCCGCCGCCCCCCTGTGGCGAGATCGGGATCGGCCCGCACCGCCGAGTCAGGAAATTGGATCGTCGGATCTGAAGGGGCCCCAGGACACACAAATAAATACACACACATAAAAACATTCCCCACATTTTTCAATATTTTCTGGGTTTTTGTCTTCCCCCCCACTTCCCATATTTTCTTATAGTTTCTGGGAATCGACGATTAATTGTGTCTGTGTGTTTTTTCCCCTCCTGAGGATCGGCAGTGTGTCGGATCGAGCTGCATCGGAATGAAATCGAAATCGGATCGGAGTGGCCTCGCCAGGATGCACAGCATCGCATTGCAAACATCGGGCCGCATCGGATCGTCGGGACAATCTAACCGAATCGGATCCGGCGGGACGGAATCGTTTCAGCAAATCTTGCTATAAGAAATCGCAATCGAAGGCCACATTATTCAATCGACTTTGGACTTCGCGGGAAGAACGTAAACTCCAATTGGCGACCGGGGCCGTCGCCGAATAAGAGATCTCCGTGGGGCAACTGCTGACAGGCCGTTCTCGTTTCTAGCGTGGCTCACTGTATCGAAACAGATCGAGCGGATCGACATAGACGTTGCGAGGGTGGACTTCGGATTCTTGGTACCCGAAGCGAACGCGCTCGAGCAGCTTCTGCACTTGGGCGTCGCTTCGTGGGGGAGCGAAAGATGGAAAGGAGAAAAGCTGACTTTTCGAGCCCGAGAGGCCTCTTTGGGGCTCTCAAGGGCCCCCTTAGTGGCCCTACACACGGCTCCTTTTCTTCAGCCCTCGCTGCCCCTCCGTGTATCGCCCCCCCATGGCGCGACGCCCACCCAACGATGGAACCGAGGTCTCCGGGCCCTCCTCGAGCACGGCTGGAGCATGGCCACGAGAACGAGGGGGCCAGGATTATGATTCTCCCATCGTACTTAAGGACCACATCCCAGAAATAATGTCGAGCATCCGGAAAAGTGTCGAAAGAGTGTCGAAACAGTGTCGGACGAGTGTCTCCCAGGGCCCGACACGTGAAAGCCCTCGAGTTGAGGGACGATTTTTTTTTCTGGCGCTCGAAACTCTTTCTGGTGATCAGGGCGAAAGTAGGTTGGAACATCCTAAGGCCAGGAGCGTGGGAGCCCCTGCGCAGGAGGCCCGAGGCCCTCAAACGGGGACTCCACTAACGGGTACTTTGGCCAGTGACCCAGCGAGCCCAACCCTTCCCGATGTGGGCAACGCTGCAATGCAAGAAAAAGGCCCTAAAGTGGCAACTTTCGGCACAATTTCAAAGTACCCGTTAGTAAGTACCCGTTACGGTGCCGTTGACAGGCCCGAGGCCCCAGGGAGACGCCGGAACGAAGCACACTCCACGCTGGGAGGGCCCAGACACGAAGAACATCGGGGCAGGCGCTGAGCTGCGAGGGGGTCTCGGGCGAGGGCGCCCTGCCTGAGGCTCGGGGCCTCTCGGAGTCTCACTCCAAGACGCGAAGGGCATCGGGGCAGAGGCTTCGGTCAGCCCGTCTGACCAGGGCGCGCGACGAGGATGCGGGGGCCCTGGAAGACCATGTCGGTACTCTGCGAGCGGGGCGCGGCCAGCGAAAGCGGCCAGCGATGGGCCGAAGCAGAAGGATGCAGAGGGAGCCTTGGAAAGTCGCTCATCATTGCTATGAGGGTTGACTGTACATTGCGAGGAAGTTTCAGGCGGGAGTGCCTGAGGCTCAGGCCATGTTGGAGTAACTCCCACCAGCCCTCTGGGCGTGAGTGGTTCAATGCGTTGATTCCTCCAACTTGGTCCGACACCACTTCTTCACTTTCGGGGATGGGGGTAACCCTGGAGCGCCAGGCAAGGAGGAGGAGGAGGAGGAGGAGGAGGAGGACGAGGAGGAGGAGGAGGAGGAGGAGGAGGAGGAGGAGGCGGCGGCGGAGGAGGGGCAGGAGGAGGATGAGGAGGAGGAGGAGGAGGAGGAGGAGGAGGAGGAGGAGGAGGACCCTGGGGCGCACCTCGCCCCATCGCGCACATGGGGTCTGGATTGGTTCCCGGTAGCTGCGCGCCCCTACGTCGACGACCGCTGAATATTTGCTGAGCTCCCCAAGGGGCTCCAAGAGGCCCCCCTGTGAGGCACCCAAGACGCCCCGAAGAGGCCTCGGCGAGACGGCCAACATCCTTGATTTCGCTCACGTTTTGGCCACACCTTGGCCCCCTTGGGGGGCAGTACGGCCCGTCTTTTGATCGATCTCCTCCAAGATGGCCCCCAAGAGACCCCCAAGAGGCTCCAAGAGACCTCCCAGAGGCACCGAGGCCAGTGCACACTGTGCCCTTCAATCGAAGTGCTCCTCCAGGGGTTCGCACCCGCGGCTCCCAGCTAAATCGTGAGGCGGTGGAGGGCGAGAACGTGATTCCTGAATGTTGGGGGCGCGGCGGCTCAACATATATATATATATAGAGAGAGAGAGAGAGAGAGAGAGAGAGAGATTGTGAGGACCTTCCGCGCGAGAGGCCGTTTTAGAAGCGGGAGCGGCTGACCGCGGGCCAGGGGCACAATCTGAGCCCGAAGACTTTCCCGACCGTCCCATGTAAAAAACAATGTGCGAGCCCCGGGAGCAAACACAATGGGTTCGTGGGAGGGGGGATCAACGATGTTTATTCTTGAGCAAGGAGGATTCACACGTTTTGGAACTGCTCGCTTTCATATGTTCGCATGTCGATCAACATGTATGACCAAAGTCCTCGATGCCCGCGCGTTTCCTCTTCGATCGTGCGCCCTTTGGGGGTGCATCTCCCTTACCTTCCACGTGTAGCTGTCGCAGCCCCCATGAAAGAGGAGTGGAGGGAGGAGGGACGAGTCAAAGGGGAGTGAGAAGGCTCGGGCGGGGCGAAAGGGGGGGATAGCAAAGGGGGGATTGAGAATCAGCTCACGTAGCTGATTTTCCCAGCGCCTCCCGGCGCCGGGAGGCGCCCATGTATCGAGGAATGGGCCTGGCGGCGGGGCCGAAACCAGCTGCGTGCAGCAGATTTCGTAACCCATCCCCCCCTTTCGTTCGGGCCGAAAGGCTGGACCACGAGCGAGATCTGCAGGAGGGGGTCAGGAGCAGAAGTGCAAGCGGCAGCCTGGCGGGCGGGCGGGGCCCGGTCGAGTAAGCGGGCCGCGGAGGCGTCCTTCCAACACGAACCGCCAAGGGAAGTCGAGCGACAACGCGACTCCCAAGTGAACCGTGAGAAGGGGCAGAGCGAGAGCGCCCTTCTCGAGTGTCGATGGCGCGGCGTCATCCGGGATCGCGATTCCTGGGAAAAGCGTGAGAGCGTGCCGCGCGAGAGCGCGATGTTGACTGAAAGCTGTGAGGAAGTATCGGTCAGGAGCCGTTGCTGTAGTAGTTCGGGGGCCGAGAACGCAGTCTGACGCCCAAGACATTTCCTTTGCAAGATCAAGGCGCAGGAGCACCTTGATTGAAAAACACAAGATGGGCACCGGGCAGAGGGCTGGAACACGAATTGCTTCAGAAATGAGAACTCAAAACGCTCTGCCATGACTCTCCCAAGACGCGAGGGCCTGCCAGGAGGCGGCCGAGACTCGCAAAGGCCGCTCAAAATCGGTACCTGGGCCCCTCCTGGGGTCCATCATCCTGGCCAGTTTGTCGAGCTGCGCTCAGCCGCGACGGCTAGGAGCCTAGAGGCGTCCTCCAGAGAACCTGGATCCTCGATCCCCGACTCTCGATCATCGACGGAGGCAGGCGAGCCTGAGCTGAATCGAATCGCGAAATCTGACTGGATCGGAAACGGATCGGACCGCAATCGAATTCGGCGGCGAGCCCGTGGCGGGGAAGTAAGAAGGAGAAGGACCTCTCTGAGAAGGCGGCGGGGCTTCTCAGAAGCCCTCGCGCTTTCGGAGAAGTTCCCTGCGTCTTCGGGGAAGGCTCAGACAAGTCATCGGGAGGCCGGGGGACTTCCGAGCCTTCTGAGCAGGCCAGCCCCTTCTCACTTCCCCGCCTCACTCGCCGCCGACGCATCGCCCCGAATGGGATCGAAAATCTGATCGCCCTGTCTGGATCTGGCTGGCATCTGGCTGGATTGGCCATCGCTGCATCCGATGTCTCGATTGTCGATACGGGGCCCTTGGACAACCCCACCCCCTCCCCAGGGCCGGCGTCTCGCCTGGAGCAGTACTTCGACGGCCCCGGGGCCCGGCAAAGGCCCCCCGGGGGCCGAGAACGGAAGAACAACTTCAGATTCACGTGCATGACTGGGGCCCCAGCGAGTCGCACCGAAGCGCCAGGCCGGGAATCGAATCGAATCGCATAGAAACGCCTCCTCGACTCTCGACCCTCGACCCTCGAGGAGGGGAGGCGGCCGCGGAGGGAGCTCGATGTATGAACAGCATCGGTGGGTCGGCCAGGAAACTCGGTGCATAGACGCCCCAGCATCCCAACATGTGGGACACCAGATCGCCTATACAGCGAACTCCTTCAATGAAATGATTGGCTCCGTGGCCGACCAAACGACGTCGAGTCCCTCCGAGCCCAGACTCGCAGCCGTCACTTTGGTGTCCGTTCCATGGGAGCCCGCATGGCCCACAGCGCTGTCGGATCTGGGCCTGCTTAGGACACGATTTAGGCCGCGTTCAGACCAGATTTGGACGGGACTCGCCCCGTCACAAGAACAGACGAGAAGGAGGAGGGGGATCAGGAGCAGGAATGCCGAGGAGGAGGAGGAGGAGCGGTCCAATTCCACCCACATGAAAAACTCATCTTGATATCGCCGGCCACGGCTCCCATGAACGG